GAGATAAAAGCTGTGAAAGACACAGACAAACAAAATCAGATACAGTCCAAATTAAAAAGTCAAATCTTGGAAAGGGCGTTTTGGACAGCAAGTCCTAAAATACTTCAATGGTCATGCTGACTGGAGGGTTCTGGGAATTGTGGTCTAAAAAAGTAACTTCCCACACAGTACTATAGAACAGTAGGATGCAGGTGTGCTTAAAGGGTGGCAGAATTGGCAAATTCCTCTTACACGCCATGCGAAATACAAGGAAGTAAAGATAATGCTTCTCTCGCACCAGATATCAAGCTCCTGTTAAATGCACGGGAACAGGTCAAGCCATAATTCTGGTCAGTTGGCAACTATATCAGGGAAAGGTTCAGGTTTGGGTGAAAGCAAAGAGGTAGGGGGTTTGAATGCTGGTGGCAGCAGTTAATCTCGTAAAAATCTAAATAATTAAAGTCCATGGGATAGGGGTGTATTTACCCATCAACCAAAAAAAGAGAAAAGAAAGGAAAAAAGGAGAACATAGATTTGCACATTGTGATATATATGTGCACTAATGTTAAATTGGATAAAAAAAAAGAATTGCAGTGCATCTCACTATGAGGGGAAGAGAGTGACCTGCTGACCTGTATGTCTGCTGCTCAGGTGGTGATTATATCTTTCAAGGTTCTCTCCTCCCTTGCAGGTTTTTATTTTTAAATCTGGCTTGGACAGAACAAACTTTGAAATGGAGGTCACCTTAAAAAGGGGGAGCATCTTGTGGCAGCCCTTCAAAAAAAAATTGTCCTTTATAAAGGAGTACAAGGGCAACCCTAGGTCTGGGATTTTTACATTCAAACAAGAAAAGGCAGTGGTTGGATACATGCATGACCAGGAAGTGAGAAGAGGCAGGAAGAGTAGAAGCCACAGTTAGGAAAGAGAAGATAGCAATACAAGCTGCATGCATAATTGCTAAGGAAGGAATGAGAAGATGTATCCTGAATTTTGTAGTAAAAGAGAGAGAGAAGTATGCAACTGTTGTGCTTAATTAATTTAGTTATCCCTTGTCTGTGTGCTTCAACTATTAACTGTGGCTTAAAATTATACTGTTGCAAAATGTGCATTGGCACCTTCAGTGCTAAACCGCAGGTTGTCTCTGATTCATCCATATTTGAACACTCAAGCATACTCTTATATAACACATTAGCCTCCTCGATTGGACAATTCAATGGGTGTCTATGCAGAAGATCCAGAGGCATTTCCTCCCAAATAAGTCAATGTAAAATGGCAGAACAATTTCGGAGAAAAACCAAATCCTTTTGCTCTCGACACAAAGAGTCGCTGTCCATGCTGGCTAAGGAATTCCGAGTGCTGCAGTCTTAAGGGTGCAATCCTAACTGGCTGAGGGCTGGCTGTGCTGAAGTCAAACCTTTCCCAGGCTAAGGATGTTTGAAATTACTGTACTTAGGACTCCCCTGACTGTGGTCTAAACTTTATGCTGCCATGGTGGTTATAAATCTGGGCTGAAATGGGTTTAGATGTGGTGTAAATTAGCTTTTCCTCTGCTCCACCATTTGCGGGGTGGGGAGTTGGGCTCTTCTGCAGGCTGAACTCAGCCTATACAACAGTTGTATCAGCAGAGGTGAGATTAGCCAGTACAAGGGCATTTCAGCCAACATAAGAGGCTTCTTTCAATCCCAAAACCATTACAACTGATATATCATTTGGCTTGGGTTGCACTGTAAGAAACTAACTTTCCAAGCTGCGTTACTTTATTTTCAGCTCAAGGCATACATTGCATCCAAGACTGATCAAGTGATTTTGGCACCCATGGATGTCTGTTCTGTTCCCTGGCAGTATCAACACAAAATCAGATTATATTAACTAAGCAATCATTTGCTGCCCTGAGGTGACTGCCTAATAGTAGGGCTTGGTCCCTTGTTCCAGAAGAGTCATCTTAAAATACTTGTCGTCCAGCCACATGGAATGTATGGTATTTCCTTCAAAGCCATCAGGACTGTCTATAAACTAGAACATAGAGGTAATGAATCTCTGTTTTGCACATCTTTAAAATGTAAATTGATGTTGGTGTGGTTACATACATATGGTTCTTAATTCTTAGGTTTCATGAAGCAAGATTTTCTTTTTCTGAATGTGCATTTGGAAATCCAGCTACTCATCCTGCAAGTTCCCATAGTCAGCTCCAAGAAAAGTTAAAAAATAGACCCATATCAACAAACAGTTCTTTAACTATTTTCTTACAAAAATAGGTCTTTTGTATAGCTACTGGTTCTTAACTGCCTACTGAAGACCCAACCCACCTAAAATGCCTTGACTTATTACTAGGATAGCTAAACACAGTACAGTCTTTTGGGTCATATTTCAAAATCCCTTCCCCCATTACCCACCTGAGCTACGAGGGGGTGCTGAAAAGTATTGAGCCTTTCCCAGAAAAAAAATGATCTAGGAAGCTGTAACTGCCACACTATTCTACATATTCTCCCAGGAAGTCAATGCACTTGCGACATCTGTCCTGCAGCTTCTTAGGTCCCTGCAAATAAAATTCTTCCGACTGCTGGTGTGACCACTCATTTGCAGCATTAGTTGCCTCCGGAACACTCCCAAATCGTTGTTCCTTTAAGTGTTTTTTTAGTTTGGGGAACAGATAATAGCCAGAAGGAGCCAGGGCAAGAGAATAGGGTGGATGGGGCATCACTTGAAAGCCTGAGGACATCAGTTTTGCCATTGTTTCACCTGCAGTGTGTGACGAGGCATTGTCATGCAACAGGATGACACCTTTGGAGAGCTTTCTTTGTTCCTTGATATTTTGCCTCAGCTTCGGCAATAGAGCACAGTAATATTTTGCTGGTAGTCCACCAGCAGAACTCCCTTCTTATCCCAAAATACTGTTGCCATTTGCTTCTGCACTGAACTTTTGCGCTTGGAACTTCTTTGGCCTGGGGGAACCACTGTGCCTCTATTCCTTAGACTGTTCCTTTGTCTCAGGATCATAACAGTAGATCCATGTCTCATCACCGATTTCCAGTTTGCCCAGGAAATCTGACTCATTTCTTTTTATTTAATGATACGGCGCCCACCGAGATCTACACGTTTCCTCTTTTGTTCGGTTGTCAAAAGTTTGGGGATCTACTTTGCTGCCAGCTTTCTCATTTCCAAGTCATTGTGGATAATGGCACCAACTCTCTTGCATGATATTCTCAGATACATAGCAATACATTTGGCTGTTCTTTTTTTAGTTTGGGGAACAGATAATAGCCAGAAGGAGCCAGGGCAAGAGAATAGGGTGGATGGGGCATCACTTGAAAGCCTGAGGACATCAGTTTTGCCATTGTTTCACCTGCAGTGTGTGACGAGGCATTGTCATGCAACAGGATGACACCTTTGGAGAGCTTTCCTTGTTCCTTGATATTTTGCCTCAGCTTCGGCAATAGAGCACAGTAATATTTTGCTGGTAGTCCACCAGCAGAACTCCCTTCTTATCCCAAAATACTGTTGCCATTTGCTTCTGCACTGACTTTTGCGCTTGGAACTTCTTTGGCCTGGGGGAACCACTGTGCCTCTATTCCTTAGACTGTTCCTTTGTCTCAGGATCATAACAGTAGATCCATGTCTCACCACCGATTTCCAGTTTGCCCAGGAAATCTGACTCATTTCTTGCAAAAGGTTCCAAAACAGCCACCGATGACCCACACGTTCCCTCTTTTGTTCGGTTGTCAAAAGTTTGGGGATCTACTTTGCTGCCAGCTTTCTCATTTCCAAGTCATTGTGGATAATGGCACCAACTCTCTTGCATGATATTCTCAGATACATAGCAATACCTTTGGCTGTTCTTTTGTGGTCCTCCATGATCATGTCATGGATGGCTTTCACATTTGCAGGCACAGAGACAGAAACAGGCCTTCCACTGGGTTTCTCATTTTCAACACCAAAATGGCCAGCTTTAAATTTGACAACCCAGCGTTTAACTCTTGCATATGAAGGGCCACTGTCACCCATAGTTTGTGACATTTCATCATGGATCTGCTTTGCACCTTTCCCTTGGAGAAACAGGAACTTGCTTATGGTCCTATGCTCTTCCACATTGAACTTTTCTGGAGGTGCCGCCATGTTCACTTTGGACCTGAACATGAAAGATAAGTTAAAATAATAGGTAGTTGATTTTTGCACCATTGAATACAGACAGATTGGCCAATACACCCTGCAATGTATAGCTTCCTAGCTCAATTTTTTCTGGGAAAGGCTCAGTACTGATCAGCACCTCCTGGTAGTTTCTCTTATTTTGATGTCAAAATAAGAGGGAACAGGAAATGTGGGAAAGGTGATATAATTGTAATGAAAAAGTGTGGTGAATTGTTGTTTTCCTACCCTGATCCCACTGAATGCAATGGGCCTCACATCTGAGAAATACTGCATAGCTTTTCTTTTAAAAAGCATTTGATGAGGTTAAGGAGACCAGATTATTCCAACCCCAGCTGTCTAGAAGTGGGCCTGCCATTTTTCAAACTATGAGATGCCACTTGCAACATGTTTCCCTCCCCCCCCCTTCTCCAAGCGGAGGAAAAGCTTTATTTTCTGTTATTTCAGAGAACTGTTAGAGGCAGAGGGGTGCTGCAGGGCTGGGAGAGTTGGCAATCCTACTTAATAATGCCTGCCATTAATTACCCCTGCTGGCACACAGGTCCTCACCCTATCAAACCCTGTGGCACGAAAAGATCCAATTTCTCAAGAAGCTAGGGGCAGATTTGCTGGCACCCAACCAAGGCTGGGCTGAGCTTGGCTTCCCGCCTAATTTTTTTTAAAAAAATCCCCCTTGCAGGGAACCGGAGCGGGCGGGCCGCCTGCAACCCTCTCGGGGCTTCTCCCTCCGTCTCGCCCCCTCCTCCGCCCGAGCTCTGAACGCAGATCATCCCCGCCTCCCTTCATCGGCTTTGACTCGGGTTCTCTGGCCCTGGCGGGTTCTTCTCCTTTTTGCGTTTCGCGGTTTGGTCTGCCTAGGCCACCGTAGCTCCGGCGGAATCAGGCTGGCTGCGATCTGTCAGTAGTCGTGTGTGCGAGAGTCCTGCGCCAGAAGGGAACCGCGTTACGGTCGAGGCTGCCGCCGCCGCCGCCGCCGCCGCCAGGAGCGCGATCGCCAGCCTAGAACTTGGCGAGAGGAAACAGCTGAGCGAGGAGGGAACCCGAGCCGAGGCAGAAGCACCGGAGTCGAGCCTTTTGGGGGAGGGGGATCCGGCTGGAAACAGCAGCAGCAGCAGCAGCAGCTCCGTTAGCCTTCCCTGCACGGACGCTCCGCAGCCCTTTCCAACCTCCTTGGCCGTCCACTGACAGGCGATCGTGAAATCCAGCCAGCCTTATATGATGCCCTCCAAAGCCAGCCCGTTTTCTCTGCTCTCCTCCTCCTCCGATCGTTAGCCATTCGCATTATTTTGGTTAAAACCTTGCCGGAGAGAAGAACTCCGGAGCGTCCGCGTCGTTTGCCTGCCCTGGCTGCCGCCTCCTTCTCCTCCTCCTCCGCCGGTTCCCATCTCGGTGCGGTTCCCTTGATCCCCTGCAGAGCAACGTGCCCCGCGGAAGAAAATCAGGGAGAGGGAAGGAGCTCCGGGAAGATGAGGACGCCTTTAAAGTCCACCGTGGCTTTTTTATAAAGGAGAAGCGCGCGCGGGGGGGGGTCTATCGCCTGCATGGACGAGCACCAGGAGAAAGCCATCATCTTCACCTCCTCTTTTCCCTCCGCTGAGTGCCGCTGCCTCTTCACCAAGGTAACAAAGGTTGATCTGTCGAGGGGTTTCTTTTCTTCTTTTCTGCCTCACGTTAATTCCGTGGGTTGGTTCAAAACTGCCCGAGTGGATTAAACGCTCTTTAAGCGCTTCTCGTTCCTGGCTGTAACGTTCATTTAGAAAAGCCCTGAAAGGGGTGGTTTAGGTTTTCATCCCGCTGACTTGGAGGTTTCTCGCCTTCCTTCCCTAAAGGAAGGAGGAAGGGCAGGAGAGGAAATCTTTCCAAACTCAGCTTGGAAAAAAATTGGATCCACCAGTTATTTAAAGGGACGGAAAATTTTTGGGCCCCGAAGGGCCTGCAACTCTGGACTGAGGGCGACACTTTCCTGGCTAAATGAGGAATGTGGTGTGTGTGTGTGTGTGTGTTTGAAATAGTGTAAAGAGGGGAAATCTAACAACTCCAGCGTGTGAATTGGTCTAGCTGCTTAGCACTGTCTTGGTTATGCACTGATTCGACATCTGACTTCCATTTCCTATCATTGCAGTCTAAATACCACAGCAGTGTATAATGCATTGTTACTCCACACACACACACCGGTTGTGGTAGGAGGAGTGTCTTGGATATGTAATCCTGACTCTAACTTGTGTCAGTTAATCTCTTTAATCACAGTTCCCATGTCCAGTGTGGAAGTCTGACTAGGGATTGCTGTAGTAGAAAGGCTGGGTCAGTGCTCTCCCTTTAAATCCTAACATACATAGCTGAATGTCTGTAAATGGCTTAAAATGGCCTATTCTTTAAATAGTGGCAATTCCCACAGACCTTAGTGAAAGACTGTGGCCCTTGATGTATGCTGCCTGCTATTTGTTTTTAGATAGGTGAAGCTTAAGATACCCCTGGAGATGTAATAATTGGCTTACCTTGGTCTTTCCCCCTCCCTTGTTATTTCTCAAAGGTTCATATGGATCAGAGTCTTTTGAATGGACAAAAGAAGAATCTGGAGTAATTGCAGTATAAAACTGTAAAACAGCAAGTCCTGCAGCAGGAGCCCCGTGATGAAGTGAAGGGGAGTGCCTGGAATCTCCAAAGAGAAATGGGAAATCCTGCAAGGTTGGCTCCTTAACTGGGGTGGTGGAGGATTGTGTTTGAGAGGGGGCAACACTCCCTCCCTGCTTAGGCAATGATGTCGGTGGAAGGATCAACAATTACCAGCAGGATAAAGAACTTGCTGCGATCTCCCTCTATCAAACTGAGAAGAAGCAAACCAGGCAGCAAGCGGGAAGACATTGGAACCAAGGTGAGTTTTTAAATGAGGCCACCTCTCATTCCGAGTCCACTAAAGGCCTCCATTTTGCCTCAGTATTCAGGTGTTTTAGGAGGAGTGATGCAAACAGGGTTTATGAATGACCTAGAACAATGGTTCCTAACCTTGTATCCACAGATGTTCTTAGATTAAATTTATTTATTTATTTGATTTCTATCCCGCCTATCTAATCAATTAAGATTACTCTAGGCGGCTAAACTCCCAGAAGCCTTCACCACTAGCTATGCTGGCCAGGATTTCTAAGAGTTTTAGTCTAAGAACATCTGGGGACCCAAGCTTGAGAAGCATTGACCTAGAATGATGCTGATGGCAATACCTGCTGAACTATATGTCACACAGTTTGAAAGAGCACATCATTATTTGCTAGAGCATGCTTAAAGAAAGACTGGGGAGTTGTGGGCCTCCAGATATTGAGGAACTACTGCTCCTGTCATGGGTTGTTGTTGGCAAGGCTGTTTTTTAGGTTTTTGGGAACAGAAATTCAGCAACATCTGGAGGGCCACATGCTGCCCAGGCATGGTCTAAAGTGATCTCTGTGTACTGAAAGGTAATTCAGGTGATAACTGGCCTGAATAAATCTGGTGGAACAACAGTGCTTTTGTAGATGATGGAAAGGAAGATGGATGGAAAGGAAAACAGAAGGTGACAACTTTCATAGGGAAGAAGTGGTAAATGTCTTCTTCACTAAAACAAAATATTTTCTTTATGTTGTATTTCACGTTCTAAGACTTGTCTCTTACCAACAACAGGTGTGTAACAATGTGTTGATTTTCAAGAGAAGAGATGCATCCTATGTTTCTAAAGCTTATTTTGTTTCTTGACGCATGATTGATTAATTTTGGCAGACAGGATTTAAAGTGTCAAAGAAGTAAGTCTGTAGTTAGGTGCTACATTCTTCAGATATAGTTATAATTTTGTATACAGTATTTTCTTCAGTGTTTGCTGCTTTTCTCTAGTAATAGTTTAGTGACCAAGGATTTTCTCCTTTGTTACATTTCCTTCAAGTTGTTCTCATAACATTAATGTGGGACACAGCCATGACTGTCTTCTCCTTCAGAAGATAAGCTTGTTTAATTTGTGTAATCAATTAAAGAGAACAATCAGCTTCACCATACTTAGTGATGATTACAGTAAAGGGTTGGGAATGCAAAGTCCTGGGCATTTTGTCATTGCCTAATTGCATTTTGTTAAGGAAATACACATAAGAACAAATGTCTCAGTTTCTGCATTCATAAAATCCAGTTGCACCAAATTTTGACTTAGTAATGGGTTCGTGTTCAAAGCACTTTGTACTGTTCGGATTGATTATAGCACTGTGATGTAAGATATATTCTGCATGTAACAGTTTTTGCAGTTGACTATATGCAAATGCTATTAGGTGGGATGGATTTACTCCATATAAATGTGGGTAGTACCGTCTATTAAGTTTTTAAATTTCCAAAAGTTTTATATAGTGGCCTTTTAAAATCCAAATGCCATTTTGGCTGTGTGTGGAGTTGTAATGCGTTAATGGTAGTGAAGCTGACAATTGTCTTGTTCAAATATTTCCCCTCCCCTGCAACAGAAAAGGTGCACCTTCATGGCATCTTCAGTTTTCAGAAGTCATTTCTATAAAAGGTGCAAGTAGCCAGAGGTCGCTTAGGTGTCCATGTGTTTTTAAGATATGAATACCTTAAAACAAACTCCTGCCCTTCTAATGCATCTCATGGGGTTTGTCTAATTGCTAAGTGGAAACAATATTCCCCCCTTTCTTCCTCTTGACAATGGGTCTAATCCGCCTGCACTTCCTCAGTTACTGTATTTTTTGCACCATAAGACTCACTTTTTTCCCACAAAACAGGGGGGTGGAAAGTCTGTGCATCTTATGGAGCGAAGAAAACAGATTATATTTTCCTGTTTTCTTCTCCTAAAAAATCGGTGCGTCTTATGGAAAGGTGCGTCTTATGGAGCGAAAAATACGGTATATCTTTCGTGAATATTCAGCAATTGTATCCAGAACTGGGAAGGGTCTGAAATTGTTTCCAGTGTGTTTCCCTGTGAATTAAGTCAATAAAACATATGCAAATAAGTATGCAGACTTATTTTCTTAGCCAATGAATCAAATGTTTGAAGTAGAAGTAATTTATTTGTGTTTTGCAGTGTTATAGGTTTTTGGTAATTAGGACATAACAGAAACTTCAGTTCCCACCCTTCATGATACTGCTCATGGAAGGTGGGAACTGAATCTAAATCAATCAGTTCTACCTGGAGGAACCTTCCATGTGACAAGGCCTAATTCAGTCAGAGTTCCTACATCTTAGCTGCAGGGGATGGGTGGATGGGTAACATACACTGTGTACTTTTATATCAGGAGTTTCCAAATTTTTCAGTATGAGGGCCACAAGAGAGAAGCCTGGGGAGGGGCGGGAGCTTCATTTTTTCCCTGTGGCAGATACTCTGTTTCCCCAAAAATAAGACCTAACCTGAGAATAAGCTCTAGTATGATTTTTCAGGATGCTTGTAATATAAACCCTACCCCCAAAATAAGCCCCAGTTGAGAGAAACCCCGTCCTTCACCATTATGCAGCAACCAGAAGATGACATGACTGTATCTGAATAAATGTAGATTGTTGTACATGGAGAAGAAAAAATAGAATATCCCCTGAAAATAAGCCCTAATGTGTTTTTGGAGCAAAAATTAATATAAGACCCTGTAGCGTCCACCCTTATTATGCTAAATAAGTCATGTATTATTCATGTTTTATGTTGATATGTTGAGAGGTAGGGCCACAAGAGAGGTTAAAAGGCAGAGCCTGAGAAGAGGAGTCAGTCAAGAGTGAGTTGAGTCAGTCGGAGTGAGAGTCAGAGAGAGAAGGAATAGATACTAATAGAGTTAGAGACTGGCCAAGATAAATAGAAGGTGGAAATTATAAGGCAAGAGAATAATATGTACATATGAAGAACTTCTGTGATTAATAAATTGGCTTCACTTTAAATAAATAAGTTTTGTTTGCATTCACAATACAAGTGTCTGATCAAACGTCATTATTTTGTGGATTGAGGTAATCCAATGGTGGCAGTGAAAAGAAAACATGACTGGAGCCTTCGTGAGGGCACAAAACGTAGGTGCCTCAAGGAGGTGAACATCACAGACCCTCTTTTATTTTCCTGGAAACATGGTAGGCTGAGAGTGCGCGCGCGCATATGCGCATTAGGGCAGGGGATGAGCGGGAAACCAATCTTGTTGCCAGACACTTTTAGGAGATGCAGGGTAGGAAAGGTCCAAGAGTCTGGACTGGTTCGGATTAAAAAGGCAAGGCGGACTGGATGTGGCCCACGGGCCATAGCTTGGAGACCCATTTTATACATACAGATAAAAGCTAGGAAGAAGATGAGGGATGAACCTTCCTTCTCACACATGCTAGATTTTTGTGTGCAGGGACTTAAATGTTGCTTTTTGAGTGGTGAAACCTTAAAAGTGTCCTTCTACACTGGTAAGGTAGGTGAAGTGAAGTCACTCCCTAGACAAAGGTGTTCTGTTTTTGAAAGAAGTGTTACGTGTGATAGTGCTTTCTTCAAAATGCTGAACACACATAATAATTTCAAGCATTATTTCTTTATTCACTGCCTTCTTTGGTATAATGGCAAATTCTCTTGGCAGTGTGTTGACAGTTTTTGGCTTAAAATATTTATGGCTACTCAGGAAAAAATCAGGAACCTTCAGAGCACAATTCTCCTCATAGTAGACCACTCTTTTTTGTTTGTTCTCCTTAACTGGCACTTACTCCCTCAATAACTCACTTAGAAGAGAAGAAAATAAAAATCTTCCATTTTCTCATAGTTCTGAATCGATCACAACAAAAAGAGCATTCTGTAGAAAATAATGATTGGTTACATGAGCAGAGCTTAACTGTTTAATAGCCGCATACTGATTATCTACCATGACTGACAGAATTTAGACTGCTAACTGTATAACTGCACACAAACTGACAGGGTAAAAAATGTATTGGATTTATACCCTGCTCATCTAATGTCAAGCCGCCACCCTGGGCAGCTACAAAAAAGTAGCATAAATTTACAAACAAAATGAAAACAATAAACAAACAGTGCAAAAACAACAACAACAACAACATCCAAGAACTCGCTCTAAAAACCTCCTCTCTAACAGACGTTGCTAAATCTCAAGATAACAAACCTAAGACGACTGAATCAAACAATAAATGAACCCGATTGGGCAGACAGAAAATCCCATGAAATGCGAGCCGGAGAAGAACTCTTGAGTAGAGAGACATGGCTCTCTTCAAAATCTGAGGCAGAGAGGGAACAATGGGTTGCTGCTGGATTGATTGATAGTCACCCCCCCCCCCGGTCCAGAAAGGTCCCTCCCAGCCAAAACCTCTTAAAGGCAGCATATGAAGATTGCTAAATTCCAACAAATTCTGCCAGTGCTACCAGCCTGACAGACATAAAAAACATATGGAAAGTGGGTTAGACAGGTCACAACCCAGAGAGCACATAGCTGGAAGAAAACTGATTCAGCGCTTTGCGGACTCCATCAGTGTGTGCCTTCTCAGCTTTTCCTCCCTGGATCTTGTTAGGAATGGGAAAGTATTTTGCTGGATTTGCATTTCTGTAGAGAAATACCCATTTTACATCTCCCAAGACTGCTGATGGAGTGGAACACATGTTGCCTTGGAAATCTATACATCTGTGAGGCTTATGGTGAATTTCAGAGAGGCAAACATGAAAATAAAACTATGCATACATTTTAAAGATATGAATGATCAACAATGCCTAGCCTACATTTTTAAAAATGCACATGAACCTGCTTTAACCAGTATAAAGATGCATATATAAATGATGAATGACAATAGTAGTGAGAGATTTGCACATTCCTAATCCTATTGCTTATTTTCATGTATTTGATGAGGGAAAGAGGGAAACCCCACTTGCTTCAACCAATGATGGTGAAAGATTTGGAAATAGGTCTGGAA